AATTTCATCAACACATTTTTCAAAATAAAAAAGTATGCATTATAAAGTATTGGATATTTTAAATATTCAGTATTCCTACTGACTTATTAAAACATTCTGAGAAAATACATTTAAGTTGTATGGTCCATGAAAATATATTAGTCATATAGAAGTGAAGTCTAGGAATGAATGTACTATATTAGATAAACCTTTCATATTATTTCTGTATCAATGAATCTCTAAGTCTTTTCAAAGAAACTTTGAATACACTGACATCTACAACATTCCATCAATGGCTTTGTGACAGAGCTATAAATACCTGAGTAGCAAGAATGGGAAGGGCGAGACTATTTGCAGAAACTAAGGATTATGGCACATCTGCAACCACCTACAATGTCAGCATTCATACATTAAAATGGACGATGATAAAAAACATACACCTCAGGGGAATACATTATCTAAAACTAGGATAAGCTGTGTAAATGTTTCATTGCCATGGAAATGGTGCACAGTACATGACAGCAGAAAAAGTCAGTTGAGACAGGTAATTTTAATTTTTATTGATAATATGATCACAGGTGTGCTTTTAATCATTTCACCACTTCAGATTTCTTATCAACTGTCAGTAATAATTTCATATGACAAGCACAATGCCCTTGTGACGTTACAAATACAGCCTAAAGTTACTTACAGTGCCTGCTGACTGGCAAGCCACTGTCTCTACAGTCAGTGCACAACTCCAGAAAGTCTATTTATTTAGTACACCATAGGTCACTCAAACTATCAATGTAGGCAAAAGTTTTGACAGCGTTCATCCAAAGAAACAGTGTTTTCTGGGTGAAGGTGAGACAGAAAAGAGGCAGACAGGATTCAGAAGGACCATGAAAGATCACAGAATCACAGAATATGCTGAGTTAGCAGGGACCCACAAGGATCGTTGAGTCCAACTGCTAGCCCTGCAGAGGACCTTCCCTGAGAGTCACATCATGTGCCCAAGAGTATTGTTCAAATGCTTCTTGAAGTCTGTCACACTTGGTGCTGTGATCACCTCCTTCGGGAGCCTGTTTAAGTGCCCAACCACCCTATGAGTGAAGAACCTCTTTCTAATATCCAACCTAAACCTCCCCTGATACAATTTCAGATCATTCCCTCAAGTGCTGTCACTGGTAACTAAAGAGAAAAGGTCAGTGCCTGCCCCTCCTCTTCCCCTCATGAGGAAGTTGTAGACTGCAATGAAGTCTCCCTCAGTCTCTTCTCCAGGCTGAACAGACCAAGTGACCTCAGCTGCTCCTCATACAGCTTCCCCTCAAGGCCATTCACCATTTTCATTGCCCTCCTTTGGATGCTTTCTAAGAGCTTTATGTCTTTTTATACTGCAGTGTCCAAAACTGCACACAATATTCAAGGTGAGGCCACCCCAGTGCAGAGCAGAGCGGGACAATCCCCTCCCTCAACTGGCTGGCGATGCTTTGCCTGATGCCCCCCAGGACATGGTTGGTCTCCTGGCTGCCAGGGCACTGCTGACTCAGATTCAACTTGCCATCGACCAGAAAGATATACGATCAAAAATGTCAGCTCATTTAGGGACATATCATTCTGCTAAAAAGCAGGACAGTCTTAATCCAAAAGACTTCCGGGATCTCTGACTCTTTGTGCTTTAAATTTCAGAAATCTTAACTGAATTTCTTAGATTGCATGTCCCACTTTGGCGCTAACAACACTGCAGTGTCTGAGGTCTAGTTGAAGCCAAGAACAATCCAGGAAGATGTATTCATGATTGCAAATAACTACTGTATTGTGAGAACATAAACAAAACCCAGGGAAACTGCAAAACCAATGCACTCAGTGTTACATACCATTTAGATAATGAATCACATATATGTCTGCATAATGCTTTTCATCAAAAACTTCACATCTCCCTCCTTTGCCCTGTATACTTCAGATAAGTCCTAGAATGTGAAGTTCTACAAAACAAAAAAGAGTTATAGTTGTTTCATTTTATAGTTTGGGGCCACACTACTGTTAAGATACATAAGGTGTTTTCAAAAATAAATACTATGGGTAAAGTTAAAACTCAAATTTTTCCAAGTCTACTGAAAAGATCTATTGAACAAGCTATTCCACCATAACATATGCATCAAAATTCAGATGTCATATAGCGTTAAATTGCTAAATTTAAGGTATGTTTCCTGCAAAAAATTTTTAACCATCACAACTAACTTAATCAAAGCTCTGTATGCACAGTATTATTATCATTAGTAATAATATTACAATATCCATATATAAAATATTTTTGGCACTGAGTAGTTTTTTTTTCCAGTAAGAATGGAAGGAAATTGTTTTAAAGCAGTTCTTAAGTGGAGAGGGACAGGAAGGGAAGAAACTTACATTGGGTAATTTATCCAACCTTATCCAGTCTATATTAACTAGTAATTCTTCAGTAAGTGACCATACAGAAAACATGATCAAAACTATATTCCCTTCAGTTGATCTTGCCTTGTTGCAAATGTTTAGAGGTTAAGAACCTGGCTTAACACAGATAAATGCATTTCATTCTTACAGGAGATTGTCATATTAAGATACTGTTTGTAATACTGTTTTAGCATGTGAATTGCAAAGATAATTCCAAAAGAACCTTTAGAATCATGCAAGAAATTTATAATATGAAATAGAAGTCTTCTATAAGAGGGACAATTAGACTATTGCACAATAATAAATATATTGTTATTTACTTTAGTAGTGTCATACTGGAGCCACTAATAATCTATATATAATATACTATAATAAAAAATATAACATCTACTGGCACAAAGTGCTTTGACATGCTATTAATAAAGCATACACTCATCTCTGATTTCCTTCATTCCCTTTATTGTTTTGTTTAATTTGTTTTGCAACTGCTTTTTGTTGTAAATACATGTTGTCTTCATACTAGCACAATATGAATCTGATGATTAAATGGAGCTGTCATTATAGTAATTTAAGAAATCCAGAAAGAAAATGACCAGCTTTCCTAGCAGTTAAAACTATTCTTCAGTAAAAGATGCAATGACACCAGAGAAAACATGCTAGTAAAATTTTTCTTTTCTTAAAATGTTTTACTTTGGGATGACAGTTACAAAAAAGGAAGAAGGAGGATTTAAACAGTTCCATTTCAGAATATTCAAATATTTTCTTTGTACTGAAAATTATTCCCCATGAGAGAAGGATGAACAGAAGGAGTCTACTCTCTTCTGCTTTCTATTTGCTTAGCACAGGTGTCAACCAAAGTATCAACACTGTGAACAGAAGGGATAAAATCTTGGCTGCTCTGATATAAATGGCAATTCTCCCATTGACTTTAACGGGTCAGGGTTTTTCTAAAACTGTTTCTGGAGTCACAGCTGCCAGAATGTGAGACTCTGCTGAAGAGTCTACTTTTTCCTCTGCTGTGAGATGAAGGCAGATTGGATGTACATGGTAGTCAGAGCAGAACATCGAACACTGACGCTTCATGGCAAAGTTAATACACTATAGAGTGCAGAGCTCTTCCAACCAAAACCAGTGCATAATTTGTTTCTTTCATTTGACATTGTCTCATAAATAAAAGATAAGAAGATGATGAATTATAGTTTGTAAACACTAGAGCCAAATAATCCCAGTTGATTGCTAATAAACTACAATGAAACCTGATTCATACAAACTAGAAGTTGTAATGCAGCAATAAATATCTAGGAGGCCACTGTACATTAAAAAAATTATTAGGCTCGTTATTTGAATATCAATTTCTATTTATGTAGCTGTTGGCTGGAAACCAATGGGAAAATATGTCTTCAGCTGGTTGAAACAAATTAGACTGACAGCACCTCACTTTTCTGCCATATTTTAAGTTAAAAACACTTACACTTTGCCATGATAAATTGCCCTGCTTTACAAACACAGAAAACTAAGAGTTAAAATTAAATATATTGTTATTAAAATTTAAAAGCTTATTCATTTAAGATAGGTATTACCTCAACACTGAGAAACTCTTCCTTTTCTGTCATATTTATTGCTTTCACAAAGTTGCCTGTTTTAGCAAGGTAATTATAATTATACTGGTATTAGGACCTCCATAGAATGGTATAGTTTCTGCCAGCTATGACGGGTAGACCCTCTGTAGTGAATCCCATTCTCAAAGCTGCTGAAGTATGCCTTAGACACATAATTACTACAGTTGATCCAAATTCTACAGTAATTACAGTATTAGAATAAATGGGAATATAGCAGCACATCACCTAAGAATCCTCTGGCAGTACAAAGATAAGTACAATTGTTGTGCACAGCCTTGTCTAAGCCTTTTAAGATGGTCTCCAAGAATCCACTATGTAAGTAGCAAAAGATCAGCTTTCAGACTCCTATTTTTAATTCCCAACACAATAGCTGCACATTCTGTGGCTGACTGGAGTTATTTGTGTTTGAAATATGGACAGAGGTAAGGAGATAGGAAAAAATACATAGAAAAATTTCCCTCTTTGGTACCTGAAGAAAAAAATTCCAGTTGATGAAATTCAAAGCTGCTGTTGCTATCTTTCTATTAAATTTTTAAAAATTTTCAAAACCCTGATTCCCTTTCCTTTTTCAGCTCCAACATTGCTCTTTTCCAGGACCTACTAGTTCAGTGTGATTTACCATGGGTCATGAAAAACCCAGAGGCATACATTCCCTTCTTCTTAAATCTGGAACATTTTATGTTCCCTGGAGTCTACCCTTGTAGGATGGCCAGGATGAATAAGGTGGACTCACAGACTATCAAGAATACATGTGATTCAGCTTAAATACTTGTCGCTTTCCAGTTGTGTAGACTAGACTAAAAAATTAATATGACCTGTCACAATTAAATCTATTAGTACCATACACTTTTCCAGAATCTTGAATATTACAGTCCAAATAAAACAAACAACTCCCTGCTTGACCCCTACAAACACCCTCCCTGCAAAGGAATAAACTTTCATTTAATATTTATAATCAGTGTAACTATCATAGCAAAAAAAAAAAAATACCTTGTATTCCCCAGCTTACTTGCAGACCAACAGAACCTGCAATGTAAGAAAAGAAAGTCTGCAGAATTAGTTACTGAATACAGATGTATACACACAGAGGTAGACAGACTACTTTTACAACTAGCATATGTGCTATCTGATGGTGTAATAGTAGGTAGAAAAGCAACTGATTGAGAAAGATTGAGAAAGCAAAGCAAATACCATGATGACATTGAACAGATATTGTCAGATTCAGATAATTACCCTTTCCTAGAGTGGTTGAATGTCAAACTACTTTGATCTTCATTTTGTAACATATTTGAAAATACTACTTTGTAATGTAAACGTTTGAGCTGCCTCTATCTTACATGGAAAGGAGATTGCCTTCTATCTACTAAGGGTACAAACAAAACATCTTGTCTATGAAGTTTATATTTTTTTTCCTTGTCTAGGCAAATCCTAGTCACAGATGAAAACTGCTTTGCACAGGATCCTGTGAGAGTACAGAAGGAAAAAAAAAGGTGATGAACTTAAAGAACAAGGAAAGCCTAAAGTGCTGTTATTTTTATGTTTCCTCATTATTATTATTATTCAAGTCAAATTATAGGAGACCAATCTATGCTAAAGAAACCAAACTTTCTAAATTTCAAGCAAATAGGATTATCATATGAATTCTAAACATAACATTCATAATTATGTATTCATATCAGTCCCTTTTAAGAGGTTTACAATATTTAATTTCTATTTTCTCATTTTAGAAATAAGAGATTTGTATTTAAAAAAACCCAAAACAAACAATAATAAGAATTTTTCTAAAAATACTACCACCAGGAATAAAAATCTCTTTTTACTGGTGGAAATTGACCTGTCTACAGCAAGACTCATTATGAACTCAAATTAGTGATCACATATTTCCTGTATGGGAGACTGATTATCATCATCTAAAGCAGCAAGATCCTCAGTCCCTGATTTGTTTCCCATTACAAGGCAAAGACTGGCTAAAGACTTTTCAAGATATACAGTGACATATAAGATTCAACAAGGAATTAAAACTGCTATAAAACAGAGTATATGAAATCTATAGGTAAAAAATATAAGTGCCAGGGACTGTCTTAGTACAATAAATTCAACATGCGTGAATAAACATTTGTATTTTCACCTCCCTGGGCAAGACCAAGCTGAAATACATTATTGTCACACGTACAGATGTATCCACACATGTGGCAGCCAAGTCTCCTGTGATTTACTGCTCAGTCAGTATCTGAATGCATGTAAAAAGTATGCATAAAGAGAGCCAGAAAAATTTTCAATGAGTTTAGTAAAAATGTACAGTACATATCCAACAGGAAAGAATGAACCATAAATCTCATAATATCTACTTGTGTTAGTTATTAAAGTTATTTTCTCATACAGTCCTGATCAGAAACATACAGCAAAACTAAATGAAAGCTTCTGGAAAGAAAAAGCCTCATGTAAGTGACACTTCATTGAACAGTCAGTGGGAAATCACAACTGCACAACATCTGTTTCAACCCTGCAAATAAAATTAATTTAAATTAAGCACATAAATAACTTGCTATGCACATATCAACCTAATCAATAAGCACAGACTCTAATCACAAGTGCCATTAAGATTTGTAGTGAAAGATAAGAATAAAGAGATAATTGCAATCAGAAAACATGCTGATTGGAAATAAATTACAGTGGATTTTAAACAGCGTTAAAGACATGTTCAGAGGAAGTATACTGCAGCATATGAAAAGCCCCAAAATACGAGGCCAAACTACATTTTCCTTTCCTTATCCCTCATCACTGTTCTTCTAAAGGATGAAACTCAATTCCTTTTCCCTTGCTGGCTTTGTTTACTGATTGAAATAAATATAGACCTAAAGCTACACTCAGTTTCAGATAAATTCCCTGAAAGAGAAAGCAAACGCTAAAGACTCAAGAGTCTTTTTTTTTAATTTCATGAAACCCTATCATCCAACTAGTTCTGTCCTAGAATATATGTTTTCTTGCAACTTTTCAAACTATCTTTTCTTACATTCAACACCTGTATTCATTCTTTTGCTCTAATTTTGTTTTTGAAAGGGCTTTGTGTACTCCATAAGAACTTCTCTGTTGCTTTGGATTATGATCTCTCTTTATTTTTTTTCCACTGAAAGTCAACAGTATCTATTGCCTTTCAGTTTTGATGCTCCTTTTTCTATCCCTTGTCCCTGTACATCTCTCAGATTTATGCTTCTAACCTCTAGCCTCATGTTCCTACTCTTCTCCAGAGTAATTTTCCCCTTCATTTTCTCTTCCAATATTTCTTTCACTTCTGTGATGGAACGTGGAGTTGTGGTATTCATAAAGGGGATTCAGTAGAAGAAAGTCATCATGTGCAGGGGGGGAAAGCAAGAGTCTCAAATTTCAGGAGATGCAATACTATTCCCAACCAATTGCTAGTTTTCCCTTCTCTTCCTGCTGTTCTCTATGCAGATTTCATCTTTGGTGAGTAAATCAATTGCCACTTTTCTTTTGCTCCTATCAGTTTCTCATATTACTGCTGATTTTCTTCTCTCTGACCTTCCATCTCCTCCCTGATCTAGATAATGCTGTGTTTCTTCTCTACTAGCCCTCATATTTTTATGCTCCACCAAATTATAATCCACATCTTTAGTTTTCTGCATTGCAGGTTTTACTGGTGTTATTTAATTCACTTTTTCCCCCTAATGATCATGATTGTCTTTATTTAATTTCTTCTCTACCCTGTCCTCAATTAGGACAGTAGTTGAGGGTAACAAAGGAAAGTCAAGGAGGAAATTTGCCAGTAGTGGTCCTTTATTAACAGTAGGACAAGTGGGCAGCCTTCCACTTCCTTCCCAACTCAGCCCAAATTCTGGTTTCTTCTGTTTCCTGTTTTTGTGTACCAGAAAAAAGGAAGACTATTTTAAATATATGCCTTATTCAGAATTGCATATAGCTCAATACCAAGGTAGTGATAATATCCATAGTTCTTTGCCTAGCTGAGTATCTTTCACAAAATTATGGGGCTCATGAAAAGAATAAATTTTCATTTCAACACAGTAGTTTTGCTCTCCAAAAGTTCCCTCAAATATCAATGGTATGCACCCTAAATTTTTAAAGTAGCTGAGGGAATTCTGGTTCCAAGAGAAAACAGGATAGGTTCCTCTAATGATTTCTGCTTGAAAAGATAGTGACTTGTGACACAAACAATTGGGGTGAAATTCTTCCCTTGATGACTTATCACTCAGGGATGCTAATGACTTCAGTAGAAAAGATGGTCGAGCATCCTAGGGTACAATTTGCTTCCTACTGTTTTTGTGCTTACTGGGACTGAAGATTACTCTAGGGAAGATACTGTAGGTGAAGCCAAGAATCCAATTTCTGAGAAAGATATTGATTGATAAAGAAAAAATAAGCAAAGAATTGCAGACATATGCAAATAAAGAGCTTAAGCGAATGTAAATATGTACACACATGGTTCAACAGTGTAAAAATTGTAGCATATATGCTAGAACCAATCCATATGCTGTCACCACTAACACAGCATCTGCTAGAAACTGTAATACTCCCAGTAGTTTGAGACAAGCTGTGACACTGAGTCAAGAAGTGTGAGATAGAGGCAATGAAGAGAAGGAAATACTTTTAGCAGACTGAATACATCACCAAAGCCTTGATGTGAGAGTACGGCCTCTAACTATCACTTGACGTAAACCAACAACTTTCACTATAATACATCAGGGCATAAAAATTATGAACATAATTTGATATTCTTTTTCTTCACAGGAAAAACTTGTATTGGAAATGAGTAAAAAAAGTAATTAAGTAAATACCATCTCTTATTTCTGTCAGTGTAAAATGTAAGTATTTTTATATTGCACTTGTAGAATTTCCATAAGCATATGCATCAATGAAGATATATTACACACACTTAACAGCTATAGATGGATTCTCTGCCAGCTAGAATATTTCATAATAACAAAACACAAACACATTATACAGTTACTCATTTAAAAAAAAACAAAAACAAAAACAAACAAAAAACCACCACTCTCCCTAACCCACCTCTCACTGCAACAACAACAAAAATACCCACAAAGTGTAATGAATGTTTTCTCAGTCAAGTGAAGAACAAGTGTGTTATAAAGCTTCTGTTCTGACTCATGACAACTATGTATATATAAAGAAACTTACAGAGTACCTCACTATTGAAAAGAACAAGAAAAGAGAGAGCAAGGCAGAGAAATGGAACAAAATGTAAAATGCAAACACCACTGTTACTTACATTGTTACATCATCTGAGACAAATAAAGAGCCTTACTTAGTATATTTTATGACAGTATATATAATTTCCTTGAGATTTTATACTAAATGAAAAAGTAAGACATATACTGCTAAATTCTTATTTCTGTGGGTCAAATTAAATTTTTTCCACCAATTTTGTGTTCAGACTTTAAATACATTTATTTGGCAATAATTCCATTATTTTTAAGTAGTGATGCAAAGTAGTATGCGTAAATATATTGCACAAAGTTATGCTCTCTCTCTCTCTCTCTAAACATATATATACATATGTTATACATACATAATATATACGGTATACAACACAACCTCATGGGAGTTCTAGCTTTCTTTTTTTGTTTTTCTTAAGTTAGTGGGAAATGACAATAAAGCACAACTTTTGATCACTTGGTCAGGATTTTGATTCCAACCTCTGTCAAGTACCATCCCACAAAGAAACTGTTAGAGAAATTGATTGCAATCATTCATTCACAAACTAAGAATCATGTAAAGGGAAAAACACTTTTTTCTCCAGATGTCCCAAAGAGTGTTCCACTAGCTGCAGCAGAAGAGCAATTTTACTGCATTTAATTGAGAAATCACACGTTAAGGAATCATGGGAGGAAAATATGCAATAGGTAACCATGGGAATGAAACCTGTTAAGAGGTAATAAATACTTATAAATATGATAAATGGTCAGGAGGTCTGGAGACACACTATCTATAACACTGCTGCTTCCTTTGAGAATGCACACAGGATCACTCTC